CTTACCCAACAGTATCATGTTATTCTTAAAATACGAAGTTTTAAAGATTTTGGAACCCATAGAGAATAATATGTAAACTAGAAAAAATATTTTAAACTTATTAGGGCAGAAATGAGAGTGGGGTGTGTCCTAGTAGATAGATCTGCTCTGGGGATAAGCAGCTCTGTTGGAACACCCCATTGGTTCTCACTCTGGGGATTGGCAGCTCTGTCAGAACACCTCATTGATTCTCCTAAGCAAGGCTCCGGATCCCAACTTGCTGGCCCTGCACAGGTGGAGAAGCACTGGCTTGCAGTGGGCTCACCAGGGCTCAGGGTTGGTATTGCTCTGGCCCAATCATCCCAGGCGAGTCACTATCTTCAGGAGTCTGCTGTCTCCTCTACAAAATACCACCAATACCTAATACAGAAGCTATCGTTAGGTGCATACTTCCAGTTATTTATAGCCTCCTTTTTCCTTTCATAAATTATTTCAGTTGCTCAGGCCAGTTGTATTTTAGTGGCCAGTTCTGTTTTAGTATTTTTTGCAAATACTTCGACAATGCATATATATATGATTTTGAAATTGTCAGTATCTTAAAAAGCAACATAATTAAATCAAATATGTAATATTTTCCTAATACTGTTTTTTTAAAGCGTATTAAATTTTTATATGGAGCTACAGAGTTCTTTCGTGAAATAGCTTAGATCTCTTTTCTTTTGTTCTTTGGTAAATATAGTGCTAAGTATAATATTAGTTTATAAAACACTAAAATAATTTTTAAAATTTACACACCAAAATTAGTAAACTTGGAGTATCAAAGACACAGTGCTGTGTTCATCTAGAAGAACTGCTGTTTGCTGGGTAGAAAGTGTCTTATTTAGGCTTATGTGGCTCTGATGGAACACCATGACAAAAAGCAGCTTAGGGAGGAAAAGGTTTATTTCACCTTCCAGTTATAGTCTCTCATCCAGGGAACTCAGGGCAGGAACCAAAGCAGAGGTCATGGAGGAATGCTGCTTACAAGGCCTGCTCTCCATGGCTTGTTCAACCCGCTTTCTCATGGTACCCAACACCAACAGCAGCCCAGGAGTGGAACCACCGCGATGAACTGGGCCCACATTAATCACAAGTTAAGAAAAAGTGCCAAGCCTTATCCACAGAGCAATCTGATGGGGACATTTTCTCAGTTTGAGGTTCCTCCTTACCAGCTGATCCCAACTTTTATCACGTTGACATAAACCATCTACACAGCAGTAAATGTCATGGTACCGTCAATGTCCTTCTCTTCTGAGAAAGAATTTTTGGAGGGAGCTCATTAGTGTATATACCACACAGCTCTCTCTGAGCTCACAGGTCTTCCAGAATCACCATCCAAGTGTCCACCCTGGAAACTGAAGTCAAGAAGAAAAACACTATTACAAGCTACTCAATCGTTTACGACCCAAAACCTTTAAGAATTCTTAGGCTTTTGCTCAACTCTCAAGCAGAACTCAGGAAAGAAACTGAGATTCCGATGTCCTTTAAAAAAATGTTCTCTTTGAAAGAAAAAATATCTTAAATTCTAACAAATCTTAGATTACTCTTCAACTGCATAAACATAGAGCAAATTCTTTTAGAATATTACCTTGTTTTCCTTTTAGATTTCTTCTGCATGAAATTATCCTCAAAACCCCAGTTTGCTTTCATGGTTCCTAAGTGACCTTGCAGCCTGGTCATGCTTTTCTTTCCTACATCATGTCTCGAGAAGAAATGTCTCAACTAATTACGGTCCTGTACAGTTCTTGGATGGCACTTTACCACAGCCAGAGCTGATCAACCACTGATGGAATGGGAGGCCAGGGGGCCTCCCTCTGACTCAGTATCTCAAACCTGTAAACACTGTTGCCCTGTACCAGTCTTTGGAAGGACAACTCAATAGATTAGAGGAGAATATTGACATGAAATATCTTTCACAATTTATGAAGCAAATTAAAATAGACTTAATCTTTACGAGGCATCTCTAGAGCATAAAATTTGCTGGATTTAATTGCTGATTATGTACTCAGCAAATTGGTTAATTACCTTAGGCAGTTGCTTGATGCCTATCAATTTGGGTTCTTGTGTCAGTTATGACCATCTTTGGCTCATAATTGAGCCTTCATTTAGAATATCTAAGTAACAAGGGTATTCACTTAAACTGTGACTGCAGGGAGGTCCATTGGGGCATCTATATCCTGATGTTCAGGAGTCATACTTGCTAGTCGTGTGTTTATCATAACCACAACAGGCATTGCTGAGCAGGAATAGCCTGTGAGTGTGAATATTGCTATTAACCACTACAGAGAGAAAGGGAACAATGGGAAAGAACTTTAAGTATATTTCTAAGGTCATTCCTTACTAGAGCTGCTGGAATAGTTAGAATGACATTAGAATGTTTAAGAAATTGAGAAGCCAAGGTGCTAGTGATGGTTAAAGAGTAATGGGAATTCTTATGCATTGTTGGTGTCAATGTCAAATGCACAGCCACTTAGGAGATCAGTTTTGGAATTTCTTAAAAAGTCTGACACAAATTTACGGTATGATCAGTATTCAAAGTATAGGTCTAGTCATATTTTCATTAAACACACACAGATACAAGTAAACTCAAACTTGAACACAGGGTTTATAAAAGTTTTATTGATCATGTTCCCAAACTGGAAACACCGAAATATCTACCAATAGAAAATGAACAATGTAATGTATGTGTTGGGGGGAGGGAAGACTTGTAATGGGAGTGAACTACTGCTTAGCAACCAAGAAGAATGAGCTATTGGAGCACACAATAAAATGGATGAACCTGTACATAGGCTGCCAAGCAAACTAAGGTAGATTCAAACAGGGTATGCCGTATATGATTCCATTTCTAGAACTGCACCAAATCCATCATAGAAAACACAGATGAGTGGTTGTCAAGGCAGAGGATGGAGAGTGGAGATTGCTCACAAGAGAAAACTTTGTGGAATGATAACGTTTCCTTTCTTGATTGTAGTCATGATTCCAAATCTGTATCCTCTTGACAGACTCCTCAGATTACGTTTGAAATGGGCGTGTTTTATTATGTGAAAATTATGTACCAAAAAATGTTGACTGGAAAATGAACAGAGGAGAACAGAGAAAGACTTGAGTTGAAGACCAGTCAGAGACTGGTTTGTTCTGTGGGAGCTGCCACCAAAGTTCACAGCCTGCTCTCGTCTGGCTCCCAGGCTGCCACAGAAGAGGAAGAAGAAGAAGAAGAAGAAGAAGAAGAAGAAGAAGAAGAAGAAGAAGAAGAAGAAGAAGAAGAAGAAGAAGAAGAAGAACCTTGTCATGTGTTTTTAGTGTGAACCAAATATCACCTCCAATTAACATGGTAGCTGCTCCTAGCAATCTCAGAGTCACATCCCCTTGAGAGCCTTAAAAGGAAAAATAAGTAAACAGAGATAGATACAGCCTTCCTTAACAAACACAAAGTTCAAAAACTTTTCAAAACTCAATGAGTCCTTCCTTGCATCAGTGTGCTCACCTGCTCAAGCCCCAGGACCAGACTGCACATGCCCAGAGACCTGTTCGTCCACGTCAGGAGGATGGACCTAAAGCATTTCAGCACTGACTTCCTTGTTTATACAGAGGCAACAATAGTGTGAGAATTCAGGTAGATAGTGAATGAACATCCTTAATTCAGTGCCTGGCCCAGAGTGAGAAAGCCGCTGAGGGGCTAGAGAGATGGCTCAGGTTAAGATCATTTGCTCTATGAGGGAGGCTGGAGTTTGTAACTGAGCGCCTAAGTCAGTTCACTAACAAATGCCTGTAGCCTCTGCTCCAAAGGATCTGACACCTCCGTGGGTACTTGCACGCGCAGGTGCAAGACTCTCACACAGAAACACACACACACACGATGAGAGATTTACTTATTCCAATGAGAGATTGATTTCTTTGGCATGGGGAGTGACATGTAAACCAATATTCACTTCTGCTGGTCAGAGGGCAACTTGCAGGAGTCATTTCTGTCTTTCCATCATGTGGTCCCAAGGGGTAGACCACACAAGAGGTGGAAGCCAGTCTGAATAAGATCAATATCCTCACCATGGCAAGGTCTGTATTGTTGTAGTTTAGTTAAACTCTGGGGTGGGTGCATTTCTGGAATTCACATCCTAGCTTTATCTTTAAAATGTCTTCCTTCAGGGAAAGTTATTGAAATCCCGAGCACACACACACACACACACACAAATAATTTTAAAAAAAAAAAAGAAAAGTGTCAAGCCTGGTATGGTGGTACACACCTTTAATCCCAACACTTGGGAGGCTGAGACTGGCAGTTCCCTGAGCCCTGAGTTCAAGGCCAGTCTGGTCTGCCAAGTAAGTTCCAGGGTACCCGTGGCAACATAGAGGACCCCTTTCTAGATTCTCCACTCCCAAAAAAGTAGCAACAGAGAACTGCAGATATTATGGGGTATTCTGTCCTGACTGTACCAATTCTCGGATTCCTAGAGGACATCAGAAAGCATATTACCACATGTTATCAGCTCTGTATAAGACACATAACAACCTGGATCTGGGAAAGCAGAGCTGCCAGCCTAAACTGGAACACCCCTAAAACTATCAGTTCTGTGAAGGATGAAGGCACCACTTTAAGTTTGAGCTTTGCATTTGAATTGATTGTGTTGTTTTTTCCTACACATGCCTGAGAAGCCTCTCGGGTGTGCGGTAATTGTCTAAAACAGGTAGAAAAAGAGTCCAGCCACACACTACGACTGAGAAATGTCAAAAATTGGATGTTCTGGCAAGCCAAATAGGGAATTAATAATATATTTAGAATTTGTAATAAAGTGCCTGTCAAGCAAACAACAACATATTATATACACAAAAATAGATCCTGCCTGGGTATGGTGCCCTTCCCAAGCAGTATATACACTGTATTCGAGAAAAATAGAACAATTCCACCCCAGAAGAAACGTCTGTTCCCTAGCATTTCCCATAACGTTCCATTCATTTGTGCATTTTTTTTTACATCCTTTATGTAGCTTCACCAATCTTCCCAGTCATCAGTGGGTCAAGCAGGCACCCAAGGGAACCTTCTGCACCTGGCTCATGGCCAAGCATCCACATCTCAAAGTCCCGTGCGACAAGCTTCTTCCTCCTCCTCCTCATCCTCCTCTTCTTCAGCTTTGAGCGTGGGCCAGTTAGTGAGCAGTAAGTATCCTTCCTGGCTCCATCTAATCATGGTAACCTTCTGGCTGCTTAATGCAATATCTCCTCTCTCCCTCTCCTCTCTCTCTCCTTCTCCTTTTCCCTTTCCTTCTCCCTCTCCTTTCCCCCACCCCTTCCTCTCCCCCTTTCTCTTTCTTCCCTTCCTCATTTCTAGGGCTGCTAGGTTATTGTTGGCATAAAGTCTATATCCAAGGCCAGATGACTCCTTAGGGCTGCTGGCCCCCATACCACACCCCTGCATTAGAGCAAGCTGGGAGCAGGTTCGATTTTCAGCGAGTTTTGGTGTGCTGAGTCAAACCTGTCACTTCTAAAGCTAGAAACTGATCGGCTTGCAGGACATGAACAAACAGCTCAGAGCTGAAATAACCAACAGCAGACACTCAGCTGGAAGGTCAAGCTGCTTTCCTGTCTGTTTGAAGTCCCCTGCCACTCCGTCTGTAGGTGTCAGAGGAAATAAAGGAGAGCATGTCTATGGGCGGGTGTGTGAGGGAATAAAGAGCCACCGTCAGTGCCTCATGGAGGCCACTGCACGGGCTGGAATCAGATGGAAGTCTCCAAACAACCATTCACAAAATAAAACAAGTCTGAAGGCTGCCTCCATAGGAAGATGGTTATGAAAGTCTATATATGGTGTTGTGGAGTTGGCATATATCCCTAGGGAAGCCAGCATATTTGTTACGTAGAAACGGAAGCATATGAAGATGCATGAAACAATAAGTTTGTTAAATATTATTTTTTTACCTCTGTATACTTTTTGCTAAATCTTAAAATCATATAATAGATAGATGATAGATAAATATATATATAAAGAGAGATGATAGATGATGATGATGATAGATAGATAGATAGATAGATAGATAGATAGATAGATAGATAGAGATTTCAATTCAGCAGAAATCAAGATTCCAACAGTCCTGAGTTTAAAAGGCTAAGTCACTTCATAGGCATCTATGCCACACAATAAGAATGCTTATGTCACCGGAGATAAGGAAAAGGGCCTGTTAAAGCTAGAGTGTGTGAATCCTCACACAGAATGGGGCAAATCTGATAATACAAAGTGACACTCCCCAAAGGAAAATAAAACATGCTTGTTCAACAACATGGATAACTTAGTCTAGAAAGATGTTGTGCATAGGGAAGAAAACCAGGCACTTGGGGAGGATGCTACAACGCCCAGGTCCTTCAGCACACTCATGGACACTGGACACTCTTAGTCTTCAATGTGGCTCAACATAAGGCAGTGGGGGACACACACAGGGTTTTCTCTCTTGCCTGTCTAAACACACAACACTATTTGGCTAGAAACCCTTGCGCTAGCTGAATAAAATTTTATTGTATCTTCATATTGTCTATAAAGAAACACCTCATATGGTTATTGTAAGAAAAGATTCAAAATCTACCCAAATTCAATTTCCTGTATGTTTACAAAACATACATTTTAAATAGTAAATATATATATATGTGTGTGTGTGTGTGTGTGTGTATATATATATATATATATATATATATATTCTTTTATCACATGCATTTGAAGCAGAAGACATGATCTCCATATGCAGAGCCTGGGCAGGAAGGAGCCCACATATATATTAGAGTGTAGGGTAAGCTTTGTCCTGAAAGAAAAGGCCTCAAAGTAAAATACAGGGGGAAAAATACATAGGGTGTAAAAGTATGAACTACTCCACTAATGCAGAGTCTTACATGTGTATTATATTCAACATGGTAGGTGGCCAGAGAGAAGGTTGCGTAATGGACAGATGGGTGGGCTTCGGCTTTCTCTGGCCATTTGGCACAGATGAACAAAGAAGGATTAACCTTTTTTTTCCAGAAATTAGTTAAGGGAGTCTACTTAGCAGTCCAGATGGAATTTTAGTTACCTGACAGCCAACAGTTTGTTTGACCTCTAGGTATACAGTGAGCAATCATCAAAATAAAGACTTTGGGAGAGGGAAACTGCTCTATCACATGCATTTGAAACAAAAGACATGACATCTTAAATACAGAGCCTAGCAGGAAGAAGTCCATACCTGTAAGTGGAAGTTTCTTGTCCTGACCCCCTGTTCCCCATCCCAGTAGCGGCTTCCAAATTACCACAGACACTTAATATTATTTATAAAGTCTCAGACAAATAGCTCAGGCTTATTATTATCAACAAGCTCTTACATTTTAAGTTAACCCACATTCCTTATTTATGCTCTGTCATGTGGCAGTACATTTATTAGCATGGTACACACACACATCTCCTGTTCCCTCTACATCTGGCTAGTGACTTCTAGCCCTGCCCTTCTCCTTCTCATCATCCTTAGTTTGGTTACCCCACCTATACTTCCTGCCTGGCTACTGGCCAATCAGTGTTTTAGTAAACCAATTTGAGTGACAAATCTTTACAGTGTACGATAGGATTATTCCAGAGCATCCCCCCCCCTTTGTTTAAATAAAAAAAAATGAAGATTTTAACTTTAACATAGTAAAAATATACAATAAAAACAGTTATTAAGAATTACAGTAACAATTTCTAGTCCATTTTTATTTGGCAAAATTATAGAAAATACTCTATTATCTATCTTTTGTAGTACAAAGTTTTTTAAAGCTAATTTGCTTTCTATTATAACTAAGGAAAACATTCTAACTATCTAGTCTTCAGTTCCATCAAAGACCAGAAGGGCTAAATGTTACCTAGTGACAGGGACATCAGGCTGCCTAGATAGATATCCAAAATTTCTATGAAATGTTGGGGCATTCAGCTCTGGTCTACAGGCCTAGCATATTTGGCAGACCTTTTTGATAAGCAGGGAATTCTGAAGGACTATCCTACCTTGTCTTGGTAAAGTTCAGCAGTCGCCTTTCTTGTGCCCTGCTGGTCCAGTTTGGACAGTAACTGTCAGATATTGAGACAAGGACAGTTTCTTTGCCCACTGGTTAACTTTTGTCACAAATAAAGTAAACACCATATAGAATTTCTTTGATGTCTATAATCTTCTTTAAAGTAGAGTGGTGCTGCCAGAGCAGACATGTCTCACTATCATAAAAAAAAAACTTTAGGTTATTAAACATACTAAATGCCATATTCTGTAAGTCTTTGAAGGGTTCAAGGATGATCAAGTGTTCTAGGGCCATCTATCTATTTAAAATATACCTCTGTATAGCCTTGAAAACATATCTGACATGATGATAAGTTTGACTGTTACAGATGACTATTAATCTGTATTTCTTAATTACACATTATATTTTTAAATGAGCTGCATAAACATAATACATTAAACAAGAGTAGAAATATATATAGAATAGAACAAAATTAACTTTAAGTTTTTATCAATAAACCAAAATTCATATCAATGTAAAATATTTAAGATTAATAGTTGTTTTTCAACTGTAGATCCTCTTTGCATGAGAGAGTCGAGTGACACCAGTGGACACCAGAGTGCATAAACCCAGTGTGAACTTACAACCATGATAGGTTTGGGGTGTGCTCTCTTCTGTGTCAAAACCCAATCACAAAAGAAATGCATGATTCACATATTTATAGCCCATATCTCTTCCAGCTCAGTAATTTGCTATGATGGCTTATTTCATAGAAACATGCTTACTGGTGTGTTTTGAGACACATGATAAAGAATATAGCCTTATCAGCACTTTTTGCACTCAGCAAGAGGTGTACAGGATAAAGTGTGGAAAGATCTGCATGCAGGAACTTCTCACCCTGTGGAATCAGACCAACGATTTCTCTCTCTCTCTCTCTCTCTCTCTCTCTCTCTCACACACACACACACACACACACACACACACACACACACACAATGGGTATGCTCACAAGGCCAGAGGCTCTTTCAACCCTGTAGTTCAGGGATTTTTGTGGAAGTCTTGATCATATAGACATGGTTGATTATTAACTCAATCTCCAGCCCCTATCACCCTAGATTTTTATCATAACTTATTTCTCTAATGACCAACTTCTTCCTAAAGCTATCCAGGAGCCAACTAATAGTCACCTAGTTAAGACAAAATATATTACTATCATCCAAGAAATTCCAAGAGTTTAGAAGGTCTGTGTTGGAACCAAAAAGGCAAATCTTCAAGTGAGGATCATAGCATACCTATAATTATTTAGGATACTATAATGGTTTTAAGAATTATGTTCTAGCACAATGCACTAAGACCAAGAACATACTTCTTTATGACAATATCACACAAACTTTTATCAGAATTATAGTTAGCAAATTTCCCACATCACTGTCAAGGAGTATATTGTTCAACCTTCCATAGATTAAAAATTAGTATTAAAATATCTTACTCACTCCAGGTAAAAGAATATCAAGCTAATCCCTTGTAATAATCAAATGACCTTCATGTGTGAAAAATGCCACATCTGAGCTCTGAGTAACAAAACAAGCATTCTTGTTAAAACCTTGCAGCCCTGACACCCTTTCCTTAAACTTGTTCAGTTTCCAGGGCTCTCACAGATAGGCAGTGTTTCTATTAGCTGGGTTTTTTCATATGTATGTGTATGCATATGTGTTCACTTGTATATGGGTGCATGTGTATGTACAAGTACATGTGATGTGTGTGTATGTGTGTGTCTGTGTGTTTGTGTGTGTGTATGTGTGTGTGTGTATGAGAGAGAGAGAGAGAAAGAGAGAGAGAGAGAGAGAGACAGAGAGAGAGAGAGAGAGAGAGAGAGAGAGAAGAGAGAGAGAACCCAGATTAATGTCCAGAGTCTTCCTTGATAGACCTTCCACCTTACTCAGTAAGGCGAGATCTCTCAATCAAAGCCAGAACTCAAAGCTACAGCTAATCTCACTGGTTGACTTGCTCTGCCTATCTTTGCATTCATTCTGGGACTAGAATTGCAGGCAATATCCCTTGTCCACCTGCTAGGCTCATGGGTTCTGGGGATCCCCATGCTTAAGTTAAGCAAGAGCTTAAACTACTAAGCCATCTCCCCAGCTCTAAACTGGACTTATAGAAAATCTAGAAGAAAAATC